TGTACCAATGTTTATTGATAATCTTTTTTAGGCTTTTGTTTTTACTATTAAAATCTAGAATAATAGGTAATTTGGGGGGGTCTTCTTTTTTGAATTTATATTTCAGAAGGTCCTTTCTCTAATTTTCCTTGACTTCCTCTAGGGCTGCATTTAATTTTTCTGGTTTATAATTTTTTTCTAAAAACATATTATTTAGTGAGGTAGATTGAACATCAAAATCATTTGTTAAAGAACAATTGCGGTGGAGGCGAAGAAATTGGCTTTTTGGAATGCCATTCAACCAAGGTTTGTGATGACAACTGGTATGGTCAATTATAGTATTGGTGCAAACTTCTCTGAAAAAGGTTTTTGTTTGGATGCTACCATCTTGAATAAAAATGTTGAGGTCCAAAAAATTGACCGATACGTTACTATATTCTGAAGATAAAACTATGCCATTATCATTTTCATTTAGATACTCTAAAAACAATTTAAGAGAAGTTTCTGAACCTTGCCAGATAAAAAATAAATCATCGATATAGCGAAAATAGGAAACCAAGTTTGCCCGCCAGCCATGTTCCCCCCAAATGGCCAAAGACTCCCAGTCGGCCATGAAGAGGTTTGCATAGCTGGGGGCAAACCTGGTTCCCATGGCCGTGCCTTTCTTTTGGATATAAAATGAGTCTGAAAACCAAAAATAGTTGTTATTTAAGATTATTTTAATCCCCTGTATTATAAAATCTATTTGAGATTCTGGGATAGAGCTTTGTTGTTTTAAAATTCTCTCAACTGCCTCACATCCTATATTGTGGGGAATTATAGTGTACAATGATTGTACATTTCAAGTGACTAAAATATAATCTTGGCACCAATTAAAATCACTTAAAAAAGATAAAAGGGTCATAGAGTCTTTAAGATAAGATCTCATTTGTTTGACCAAGGGCTGTAATAAAATATCGATATATTCGGAAAGATTAGATAAAACAGAGTTAATGCCCGACACTATAGGTCTACCAGGGGGTTCTTTTGCATTTTTGTGAGGAAATAAATGACTGTAATTTTTGGATAGTTAAATTCTTGTTTGCTCAAAATTTCCATGTCTAGCCCCTTTTTTAAAAATTCACTTAAGATTACTTTCATTTTAGAGGTTGGGTCATATGATAATTTTTCATATACCTCAGAATCATTGAGTTGGCGATTTGCTTCTTTTATATACATGGACTTAGACAATATAACTAAGCCTCCACCTTTATCGGCGGGGTCATGATTTCTTCATCTTTTTGGACTTCTTTTAGAGCTTTTCGTTCTTTTTGTGTCAGATTCTGATAGTCATGCTTATTATATTAAATTTTTTCGAAATCTTTTAGAACCAATTTTTCAAAAACTTCTATAGGACCTGATTTAAAAAATATACATGAACTGATAAATAATTTTTTAAAAAGGAAGGAAAACTGGTAAAACAGCGTCAGGGTCAAGGGCACCCAAGGCGCATTTATGCATGCAAGGAGTGAAGTCTAGCCTGTCTGGTCCGATCAAACAGAAGAGATACTGTAGCTCAAATTGCAGAAAAATGTAATGCTAGCCATGATAAAAAGCCAGAACACGCTGTATATCGCAGTTTGCTGCATGTGAGCCTGCATATTCACAGATTGGTTAGAGTGATGATCCCTGTCCACCACCAAAAGATACTTCAATGGAGATGTGAGCATCATAATTGGACCATGGAGCAATTGAAGAAGGTTACCTGGTCTTATGAATTGTGTTTTCTTTTATATCAGGTGGATGGCCAGGTTCCTGTGCATTGTTTACTTGAAAAATAGATAGTTGTACAATGTCCTAAGGGAAGAAGGCAGGGAAGCTGAGGCAGAGTTATGCTCTTGTCAATTTTCTGCTTCTGTCCCTGTGGATGTTACTTTGACACGTACTGCCTACCTAAAGATTGCTGCAGACCACGTAAAACCCCTTCATTGTCCTTCATGGCAATGGTGTTCCTTGAAGGCAGGATAATGCTTTCTCTCACACTGCAGAATTTAAGAACATAACAGAGCATTCAAGGTGTTGATTTGGACTCCAAATTTCCCAGATATTAATCCAATTGAGCATCTGTGGTATGAACTGGAACAACAAATCTGGTCCATGTGTCTGAGTCCCTACCTCCCAACCTGCAGGACTTAAAGGTTCTGCTGCTAATGTCTTGGTGCCAGATGGCTGTCTTAACACATGGGCACGCTGGGCAGTTACCAAGAGGCCCCACAACCAAGGGGGCCCCATAGGCTTGCCAACTGTTCAGTATATTATTCGAGGAAATGTGTTCAGAACTTTCAAACTCTCTTTATTAAAACATTTAAGTACACTAATCACCTCAATATCAGCTGTAATCTCTACGTTGCAAATACATATGTTGACCTTGACAAAAACAACATACGCATACTAATTGTACATAAGCAAGAAAAATCATCACACAATTGTGGAAGCCATAAAGCTATAATAAAGTTCTTCTAATATTTTAACAGTCCATGTCAGTCATCTGCCCATGCTACCTACTAAATGTTTGTGTCGATTAATCTTTTAATGTTTAAACACTGATTTTGTTGAAGGTACCAATAAATCTAAGTTTAATGTTATTGATAATTGACATTTTCATTCCTGTGAGTGGTTGTGCAGGCAGGGCCCCAGTGCATTGCTTTGCCCAGGGGCTTATAATGCTGTTAAGATTGCCCTGGTGCTAGATACCACAGGACACGTTCAGATATCTTGTGCAGTCTATGCTTTGATGTATCAAAGCTGTTTTGGCAGCATGAGGGGAACCAACTCGCTGTTAGGCAAATGTATTTCATGGCTGATTGGTGTATACTATGTGTATTGAAGTATGATTTTTGTTTTATGCAAGGCACATATCTGTGTGATGGTCCTGTGAGTGAAAATTGTTGCCCATCAGGATTGTTTACTAAAGAATTCAAAGAGAATTTCAAATATAATGTCAAAATAGCCAAACTGGAAAAATTATCTTAGTTAGTTATGCTTTAACATCAGCTACTCTGGCCTTACATTTGAAATTCACTTTGAATTCTCCTTGTTAATATTTTAGGTGATTTTTGTTTTCTAATTCTTTATTTGTGCATTGACAGATGTTACAAAGCATAACATTTGAGTTGAGGCTCATACAGGAGCCCATATCACTTGTTACATATTGCAATTGCAATTATATATTTGTGTGTTATTAAAGAAGGCATATAATGGTAAACCATGAGCCGTGTCTTAAGACATTTATACGAGTACATACTGTCAAAGGTTTTGTGTATATGATATGAAAGAAAATAAAACAAAATATCCCCATATCCATGTTTTATCCTGGGTTATAAGTTTTGTTATTGACGTGTTTGGTATAGAGATGGTGCTGATAACAAGAGGCGGGATTCTTTGAACCCCTGGTCCCAACCTGGGTATGCCAATAGTCGTCTCCCGCAAACCCCTAGAAAGACCACCAGTAAATCTTAGTAACATGCTTCTCCGCACACTAAGAAAGCTGCCAACCCAGCATCTCCTCTCTCTGTCCCTGCTCTTTTTTCCCCCCTTTTAATTTTTTATGTTATGAAGCTGTGGTCGGCACAGAGCAGGTGACACAAGGGACTTTCATACACAGAACATCTTTTGAACAACAGGGTGTAGCTAAGTGTTATCAAGAATTCTAATATTACTAGCAGTCCCGGTCCCCAATGCATCCCCCGTGCCCAGCTCACCACCATTTTTCATTGAATGATAAGGTGAAAAGAACCATCATGAAAATAGAAACAAACAATAACAACCACTGCAACTGTATGAAATATAGGTTTGAGTCAGGGTCTGCACTCTAGCGTCGACCCACCAATCTGTCCTTGCTGAAGTTTTTCATCCAACCATGCTACCATTGTGGTAATGTACAAAAATGAATAGTCCAACGCACTTGAGGATTTTTTTATTTTTTATTTTTATTAGTTTAAATAAACCGTCAGTGTATAGGTTCTCAGTAGTAGGTGACATCCTGGCTTGGGACTACAGAGGCCCAACACCCCAAACACCCCACCGCAGGACCGCCCACTCCCTAATGACTCACCTCCCTGTCCTCCTACTCAAGCCAAGGAGCCCATACCTTATCAAAATGTATTGTGTACTATTGCTGTTAACTTGTCCATTAGGTAGGATTCACGAATCCTGTGTATTACTTCAGTCATGCTGTCTGTCCTCCAGCCACTTAGCAGCCAGGGATTGAATGAGCCAGCAGGCCATCAACAGGTCTAGCTAATATAAAAGCCCAGGGGTCCAGGTCAAAGGGTCTGTTAAATAGTGAGGTTAGTAAGACGCAGATTTCCTGCCAGAAAGGTAGTCGTTTCACACAGCCCCACTGCATGTGGAGGTATGAACCCTTTGCTCCACAGTGGCACCAACAAAAATCGTTAGTACTCTTGCTAATTCTGTTATGCTTCATCGGGGTGGTGTACCATCTCATAACTGTCTTGAGTACTTGTTCCTGCATTCCCACACACCGAATCTACCCCCAGCTTCCCAAATGTCCTCCCACACTACTCCCTCCTGTTTCTCGCCCAGTTCTTCCAACCATTGTTTCACATATGTCAGGCCACCCCAGTCGGTCGACCCTAAGCAAATTGCTGTAAAGCTGTGCGCTTTACCTGTTCTGCAGAGGCATAACCTCAAAGCTGGACATAGCAGAAAAAGTCCCTTGGCCTGAGTGGGTGAGTCTGGCAAAGTTCCTCAAACCTGACCACCTATTGGCCTCTATACAGATCTTTTATACATTGTAAGCCAGCCCTTTCTAGTCCAACAAAATCCCTAGCTGTCATGCCGGGAGAAAGTCCCTGTTTCTATACATTGAAGACATTGGGGATGATTCAGAGGCTAGCGTCATTCGTGTCCTAACCCTGTCCCACAGGGCTATGGATGTCAGGATTGGCAGGCAGTTCATCCTCAGCAAGGCTCGCTGCCGCTTTTCCACCCATATATAGAAAACCAAATGCAAGGAAGCAGCGCCTTCAGGAATATTCTCAAATCCAGATAGAGATGAGCAAATATAGGAAATAAGAGGAGAAAGTGGAATAAGGTGTAGTATTTAGGTAACTGATGTTTAAAGATAAAACAAAATGCACTTACAATTTTCTGGAGACTGTGTTAGGCTCCAGATGTCTGCATCTGGATAGTATAATCCCCTTTTTGGTAGTCTCAGTAGTATATTGGAAGGTATTTTCAGTAGTAGTGGAGATATCCTTTTTCAGTGCACCACATTGTAGCAGTCAGAGGTAATCAGTATATGAAATTGCAAATAAAACCAAAATCTAGTGCTTTCTGTATTATAAAATAGCTAAAAGGATAAAAAGGAAGTATACTCACAAGAGGAGAGCAATGTCAGGTATTGCTCAATCCTAATAGGCGTATATGGTATATTCCCCACCCAGGAAATAACTGCGCAAATCCTCAGATTAAAATCTTCAAATGTAAAAGTAGGAAGGTCCAAAGTCCATAAAATAAAAAGTTACATTAGAAAACAAATAAAATCAGGCTTTATACATCTTTAAACATGAGTTACCTAAATACTACACCATATTCCACTTTCTCCTTTTGAGGATATTCCTGAAGGCGCTGCTTCCCTGCATTTCCTTTCCTATCCACAACATTTCCAGAAAGAAGAGATTCTGGTTTGGGAAGTTCAAGCTGCCACACAGATAAGAAAAAAGCGCCGGAAATCCTATCCTTTTATTTATATACAGAAAATCAGCATATCTGACTCTAAGTTAACCCATCTGCTGGGGGGGGGAGATAAAAGATAAAACTGTCTGGGCAAGTTGTGCTGTAGTGCAAATGTAGTGCACTTTAATTTAGCACCTTTCCATCTCAATGTGTGAAAATAAACTAATTATAACAACTTAGTTTAGGTCACTTCAAATGTCTGAGAGCTCAAAATTCTGAAGGATGGGAAACAGGTAGTATTCTCTCTTTCTCCAGCTACAGACTTGCACTCTGCTTTTCCTCTGCAAAATGAAACATTTAAGAAAAGTTGCAATATCATCAGCAAACAACTAAGTAAGTTACGTTCAAACAAGAGAGATCCCAAGCTGTTTTAACAGTCTTCGTCAATATCTTTCTACACTTTTGCAACTTTTGGTATTGAATTCCTTGTGATTGCAAATTTCTGTATAGTTTGTAACTAATACTTTCATATTATGTATGCATATACATTATACATTTTTTCAGAGATAGAATGTTTTTTATAAAATTCTTCAATATCAATCAAAATGCAATACATCCCACATGGACGCCTCTTAGCACAAATTGATGATAAACACCATGTTGGGGTCTAAAAAAGAACCAGCAAGCCCATGGATATAGAACAGTGAACCGACGCTTAGCCTTGGTAGGGGTAGAGCTCTCTTGTGAGGACCACCCAAGAAGGCACCTAGAGTAGGCCAAGGAAGATCATCATTTCAGTCCCAAGCATGCAAAGGAACTAAAATTATTTCTCAATAGATGCAGTGCCTAACATTGCTCAAGTCCATTCCCCTAGGGGTCTGTGTAGGGACTAGGATCAAATTTGGTGTTTCCATTTTCTCCTCCAAAGTTCACTCCATAGGTTTGGGTGGTGTGAGGAGATCATCCTGGAGTGGCTCTCATCCCAGGTATACTAAAGGCACTTCGTTAGATAAATAGAAATGTCAAGTACAAGCTCCTGAGACCTCCCTCCGTATTGACTCTTAACTCCCTCCAGAAGGTAACTATCATTCCTCAGCTGATATGATCTTTCAGACAGACAAGTCCAATATTCCTCATATAAACAATTAAAGGCAGACAAAATATCTGATAGTTGAGGACCATGCTGCAGGTCACTTGGCTTCATGGCCATCTTGAATCATGCACAATTGGGCTGTTGATCCAGGGTACACTCAACCTCCCATACAGACAGATAGCCTCCTCTGTGGAGATCAGTATAATCCCTACCGGTCAAAGGTAGGGAGCAAGGGGCCAGAAAGTTGAGCTGTGGGAAATTGGGGACCTACAGAGAAAGGGAGCAGCCACCTCCCTTACTCATTTGCAAGGTTAGTCCTCAGATCCCGGCAATTACAAACCCCGCACCATCTTACCCATCTCGGACGTCAGAGCTAAAAATAAGGCATCAGCCTCCATGATAAAGTTAGGACCCTCGACAGAAGGTAAAATGAAAGCTTATTATCGCCAGTAAATAGACTTGAATACTAAATATCAGGAAAGTGATATAAACATGCATCCATCCAGCATATCGGTCTGTCCACACCCCCTGTGAAAAATTCAAACAAGATTTATTAGTACTTTTGGATGAAGGCAAGAATAGAGGGATCTCAAATAAAAAAGAATATGACTACATCTATTGCAAATTTCCTAGATTGGCTGTATTTTACCATTTACCTAAAATATACAAAAAGTTGTACAATCCTCCATGGTGACCTATAATCTCTGGGATAGGATCCCTGACATCAAACCTGTCAGAGTATGTATACAAGTTTCTACAAAAAAATTTGGAATTCAAGTCATATTTAAGAGATACCATCCATACTATTCATATCTTTTCCACAATAGAATGGAAAAAAGAATATATTTTGGTTACAGCAGATGTGACGTCACTTTATACGGTTATTGAACATCTTCGGGGATGTGAGGCAATCCAATATGCACTAGCCTCAAACTCTGAATTAAAGAATTATCAAATTGATTATTCGGTCAAATGTGTAGCATTCATTTTGACTCATAATTTCTTTTGAGCCAACAATCATTTTTTACATTTTTTTTTTATTCTTTATTTTTGTTTGTGCATTAGATAACAATCAGGTTTGCTACGCCGCAAAAGCTGTAGGAAACCATTCAATAACAGATTATAATATGGCATAGAGAATATTGTGCACAGTTCTTAAAGTAAAATGAAAATTAACATGAGTATCAGGCAATTCAGATATGAGACAGGTAAGTTATTCATAGTAATGATTGGTTATGGCAATTACGGAATAAGAAAAGTAATAAAAATAGGCAAAGTATGCACGTCTGACTCTGAGTAAATTACTTGTAATGTATTCAAGCAGGGCCGGATTAACATAGGGGCTGATGGAGCTGCAGCTCCAGGCCCAGGCCCATGGAATAGGCCCATTGATTTATAAAAAAAAATATATATATATATATTTTTTTTTTTACATTTTTTTTTTCCACACACTACTCTTAGGGATTCCACCTGGCTTTTATTTTATTGGCACAGCCAGTATTTGAGGCTGCCTGGCTGGTGCCAATATTACAGTGATACTGGCAATACAAATGCTGGTATTTTTCTCAGTATAAACAAGAGATTACTCTGCAATACCAGCACTGGCCAGTAGGGGTCGCTGTGTGTGGAGACAGGCAGGGATAGGAAGTTCCAGCATATTCCTCCCTGCCTATCTCTACTCACTGATCTGCAGGGGTGCAGCTACAGAGAGTCCAGACAGCAACTCCCACCCTGCAAAGACAGCCTACAGCTCAGGGAAGTAAGGGATGGGGGGAAAGGCTGCAAGGAGACATGGGGACACTGAGACACTAAGGTACACTGGGAGACATTATGGCAGACACTGAGACACTAAGGGACACTGGGAGACATTATGGCAGACACTGAGACACTAAGGGACACTGGGAGACATTATGGCAGACACTGAGACACTAAGGGACACTGGGAGACATTATGGCAGACACTGAGACACTAAGGGACACTGGGAGACATTATGGCAGACACTGAGACACTAAGGGACATTGGGAGACATTATGGGACACAGACACTAAGGGACACTGGGAGACATTATGGCAGACACTGAAACACTAAGGGACATTGGGAGACATTATGACACAGACACATGGGGACACAGTATCCCCATGTCTCCCAGCCAGTGTCCCTGGTGTCTCAGTGCCCCCTAGTCTCCCAATGCCCCCAGTCTGCCAATGTCTCACTGTCCCCATGTCTCCTAGTGCCTCCATGTCTCCCAGTGCCTCAAGTGTCTCAATGTCCCCATGTCTCCAAGCTAGTGTCCCTAGTGTCTGTGGCCCTGGTGTCTCCTTGTCCCCATGTCTCCCAGTGCCCCCATGTCTCAATGTCCCCATGTCCCCCAGTCAGTGTCTCTAGTGTCTGTGTCCCTGGTGTCTATGTCCCCATGTCTTCAAGTGTCCCCTATTTTCCCAGTGTCCCCATGCGTCCCAGCCAGAGTCCCCTAGTCTCCCAGTGTCACTGGTGTCTCCGTGTCCCTAGGTCTCCCTGTGTCCCCAGGTCTTCCCGTCTTCCTAGTGACATGGGGACCCTGGGATACATGGGGACACAGGGAGACATGGGGCATTGAGACACTGTGATACATAGGATCACTGGGAGACCTGGGGACACGACACTAGGGGACACTGGGAAACATGGGGCACTGAGACACTGATACATAGGAACACTGAGACCTGGAGTAATCAACACATGGGGGCACTGGGAGACATGGGGCCACTGGGAGGAATCCATCTATACAGCAGAATCAAACTAAGTTGTTTTTTGGTGATTTTACAGCATTTTCTCTTATATCACTCCTTGTGATTTAAATCATGTGATGTCACCCATACATATTTAATTATGCAAATTAGCAAGGCAGGTATGTTTTTCCAAGAAAGGTGGCAACCCTAACTACTTTTCACATACTCTTACTTAGGTATGGAAACTTAAGAGGGATATATGGGAACAAAACTTGTGTGGACTGGCTGACAATGAATATAGTTAAAGGGACACTAGAGTCACCAGAAGTACAGCTTACTGAATTTGTTCTAGTGAGTAGAATCATTACCGTCAGGCTTTTTGCTGTAAACACTGTCTTTTCAGAGAAAATGCAGTCTTTACATTACAGCCTAGTGATAACTTCACTGGCCACTCCTTAGATGGCTGTTAGAGATCCTTCCTGGGTCATGGCTGCCTAAAATGCATCCAAACATTCAGTGTCTCCTCCCTCTGCATGCAGACACTGAACTTTCCTGATAGAGATTCATTGATTCAATTCATCTCTATGAGGAGATGCTGATTGGCCAGGGCTGTGTTTGAATCATGCTGGCTCTGCCCCTGATCTGCCTCTTTGTCAGTCTCAGCCAATCCTATGGGGAAGCACTGTGATTGGATTAGGCCATCACTTCTAATGATGTCAGCAGACTGCTTGTTTTTCTGAGTCTAACAGCATGCAGAGTTACAGCTTCAGGCTTGAATACAGTAAGATTTTGCTAT